AACAGATACACTCTATGAAGGATTCGGTAGAAAAAACTTTTGATGTGTAATATATATGTGTTCTTGATTTAAAAAAAAATCCATTTTTTTTAAATTCAATGGGCTAAAGTTATACAGAGTATTGTGTCCAATACCAATATTTGATTTAACTTTTTGCTCAAGCCCAAAAAAGTTGCCACTCACTTCACTTCTCTAATCTCTCGCTTAATCACTCATTTATTCTCTGTTCTATTTTCCCAAAAAATAAAGAACATTTCCAATAAAAAATCTCAGAGTTAAGAACACTCTCTCCACTCTCAAAAGAAAATGAATCTGTAAAGGAGAAGAAAGCAAAACAAAAATTTGAATAGATCGAAAAACTGATTAGAATTCGGTAGAGATAACTTTTGATGTGTAATATATGTGTGTTCTCGATTTAAAAAAAAATCCAATTCATTTTAAACTTCGATGGACTAAAGTTATACAACGTATTGTGCCCAATACCAATATCTGATTTAATATTTCGCTCAGACCCAAAAGATTTGCCACTCACTTCACTTCTCTAATCTCTCGCATGATCACTCATTTATTCTCTGTTCTGATTTCCCCGGAAAAAAAGACAAATCCCAATGAAAATCTCAGAGCTTAGAAATCTCTCCTCTCAAAAGAAAATGAATATGTGAAGGGGAAGAAAGCGAAACAAAAATTTGAATAGATTGAAAAACAGATACACTCTATGTAGGGTTCGGTAGAGAAATTTTTTGATGTGTAATATATATGTGTTCTCGATTTCTAAAAAATCCTATTTGTTTTAAACTTCGATGGACTAAATTTATACAGAGTATTGTGCCTAATACCAATATGTGATTTAACATTTCCCTCAAGCCCAAAAGATTTGTCACTCACTTCACTTCTCTAATCTCTCACTTTATCACTCATTTATTTCTATGTTTGCCAAAAAAAAAAAAAGACAAATCCCAATGAAAAACCTCAGAGCTTAGAACTCTCTCCACTTTTAAAATAAAATAAATCTGTGTAAAAGAGAAGAAAGCAAAACAAAAACTCGAATAGATCGAAAAACTGTACACTCTATGGAGGATTCAGTAAAAGAATACTTTTGATGAGTAATATATATGTGTTCTCGATTTCAAAAAAAAATCCAATTTGTTGTAAACTTCGATGGACTAAAGTTATCCAGAGTATTGTGCTAATACCAATATTTGATTTAACATTTCGCTCAAGCCCAAAAGATTTGCCACTCACTTCACTTCTCTAATCTCTCTCTTGATCACTCATTTATTTCTATGTTTGTCCAAAAAATAAAGAACAATTCCAAATGAAAACTCTCAGACCTTATAACACTCTCTCCACTCTCAAAAGAAAATGAATCTGTAAAGGGGAAGAAAGCAAAACAAAAATTCGAATAGATAAAAAAATAGAAACACTCTATGGAGGATTCAGTAGAGAAAACTTTTGATGTGTAGTATATATAAGTGTTCTCGATTTAAAAAATATCCAGTTTGTTTTAAACTTCGAAGGGCTAAAGTTATAGAGAGTATTGTGTCCAATACCAATATTTGATTTAAGATTTCGCTCAAGCCCAAAAGATTTGCCACTCACTTCACTTCTCTAATCTCTCCCTTGATCACTCATTTATATCTCTGTTTTCCAAAAAAAAAAAAGACAAATCCCAATGAAAAATCTCCGAACTTAGAACACTCTATCCACTCTAAAAAAAAAGATGAATCTGT